CGGGGAGGCTGCACTCTCGCTGTGACAGAGCCATGCCTCTGTGGGTTGGACCCAGCGTGCTCACCGGTGGGTTGCACACACAGAGGCGGGCTGGGGAGAAGCAAAGCAGCACAGGCGGGTTGGGCTGCCTTTGCCCCCCGGCGCAAGGGTGCCTGCAGGAGTTACTAGGCCAGGAAGCTGTTTGACAGGGTGGGCCACCAAGAACAGATCCTGGGGTCTGGACAGACACAGTGTTTGGGAATGGGGCTGCATTTGGACGCCCGGCTCTCCCTCGCCTGTGCCATGCGGCCCCCTGCATTCTGATTGCTGGAAAAGCTGCTTTTGTGCCCCTATCTCTCTGTCTTATTTGCTGTCCTTTCCGCACTCTGGAGAGCCACTGCAGGTGCCTGCTGGGAGGGGGCCGTGGCGGGCGTGGGGCAGGGGCGACACAGTGTTTGGGAATGGGGCTGCATTTGGACGCCCGGCTCTCCCTCGCCTGTGCCATGCGGCCCCCTGCATTCTGATTGCTGGAAAAGCTGCTTTTGTGCCCCTATCTCTCTGTCTTATTTGCTGTCCTTTCCGCACTCTGGAGAGCCACTGCAGGTGCCTGCTGGGAGGGGGCCGTGGCGGGCGTGGGGCAGGTTCACGGTGCGTGGCAGTGACTCGTGGCCATTAATATGGTGCTGTCACAAGCGTTCTAGGGGAAAGGCTCTCCCTCCACTGCCCTTTCTTCCCCACCCCTGCCCCCACCAGTCGCTGCGTCATTTCTGCAAGCTCTGCAAAGTTAGACCACAAGCTCTGGCTGGCAGCAAGCGCCCCGGAGGGGAACAGGGTGGGTGCTGTGGGGAGGGGAGGTTCTGATTGCCTATGGCCATAGCCCAGACCCCTATTGCAGATCTTCTCCTGGAGCTATCTCTAGGGGGCCACCCCGTTACGGTCTGGATGAAATTACTAGACAGTTTCCCATGGGTGTGACCCAAGTTTCCTGTGGGATGAGGGGGGCAGAGTGAAGCACCATGTTACTCAGCACGTGGCAGTGACTCGTGGCCATTAATATGGTGCTGTCACAAGCGTTCTAGGGGAAAGGCTCTCCCTCCACTGCCCTTTCTTCCCCACCCCTGCCCCCACCAGTCGCTGCGTCATTTCTGCAAGCTCTGCAAAGTTAGACCACAAGCTCTGGCTGGCAGCAAGCGCCCCGGAGGGGAACAGGGTGGGTGCTGTGGGGAGGGGAGGTTCTGATTGCCTATGGCCCTATCGCAGATCTTCTCCTGGAGCTATCTCTAGGGGGCCACCCAGTTACCGTCTGGGTGAAATTACTAGACAGTTTCCCATGGGTGTGACCCAAGTTTCCTGTGGGATGAGGGGGGCAGAGTGAAGCACCATGTTACTCAGCATGCTCAGTCCAAACCAAGGAGAAAATCTAGGGGGAATGTGACCCCACATCACTGTAGTCAGCGTGCTACCCAAAAACCTGAGTTAAGAATCACGGCTCCCAGCCAGAAACATCCCGGCTGTGTCTAGACTGGCTAGTTTTTCCGGAAAATCAGCCGCTTTTCCGGAAAAATTTGCCAGCTGTCTACACTGGCCGCTTGAATTTCCGGAAAAGCACTGACGATCTAATGTAAGATCGTCAGTGATTTTCCAGAAATGCTATGCTGCTCCCGTTCAGGCAAAAGTCTTTTTCCGAAAGACTTTTGCGCAAAAGGGCCAGTGTAGACAGCTCAGATTTGTTTTCCGCAAAAAAGCCCCAATTGCAAAAATGGCGATCGGGGCTTTTTTGCAGAAAAGCGCATCTAGATTGGCCAAGGATGCTTTTCCGCAAAAAGTGCTTTTCCGGAAAAGCATCCTGCCAATCTAGACGCGCTCT